CCCCACCCCTCCCTTCTTCCCGGGCTCAGCTCTGCTCCCCATTTCTCTACCTCCTCCCCTGCAGCAGCACAGGGAGATGGGGAGTGGAGGCTGTGGTCAGTCCATCACACGCTGTCTCTGCTGCTCCTTCCTCCTCAGGGGAGGACTCCTCACACTCTGCCCCTGCTCCAGCGTGGGCTCCCTCCCACTGGAGACAGTCTTTCGTGAACTTCTCCAACATAAACCCTTCCCATGGACTGCAGTTCTTCACAAACTGCTCCAGCATGGGTCCCTCCCATGGGGTGCCATCCTTCAGGAGCAGCCTGCTTCAGCATGGGCTTCCCACAGGGTCACAGCCTCCTTTGGGGATCCCCCTGCTCTGGTGTGGGGTCTTCCCCAGGCTGCAGGGGCATAGCCGGCCTCACCATGGTCTGCACCACGGGCTGCTGGGGAATCTCTCTCTGCTCCGGTGCCTGGAGCACCTTCTGCCCCTCCTTCTCTACTGACCTTGGTGTCTACAGCAGTTGTTCCTCTTACATATTCTCACTCCCCTCCTCTCCTGTGGCACAGCAGTTTTTTTCCACCTTCTTAAACATGTTATCCCAGAGGTGATGCCACCATCACTGATTGGCTTGGCTATGGCCAGCAGTAGATCAGACACAGAGGAAGCTTCCAGCAGCTTCTCACAGAAGCCATCCCTGTAGCCCTCTCTGCTACCAAAACCTTGCCATGCAAACCCAATACATATATTTAGTGAAGTATTTTCAGTTTAAAGAGTGTGGGATCTGAATTGCTTAGATGGCAGAGATTCAAAATGCTGATTATTCTTATGTTCAAGATTTTCCTGCATGTATGTCTGAATATGTATGCAGACAGATTTATACATTTAATGTACATATTGGGAAAAGTGAATTATGCCTATTTCAGACTTTTTAATGCTCATCATGAAAACTGTGACATTGTTCCACATCTAACATTTCTCTGAACATATCAAGTGACAAATATATTCTAGAAACTAATAATTTAGATTCGGGGAAAAAAAGAAGATTTTATGCTCAGATACATGTTTTTAGCACTTATGGTTAGAAAGATAACCTTCTAAATGAGAGCTGATGCAAGACTGTGTTACACAAAATGTCATGAGGAAGAATGGATTTAGTAATGACAGAATCTTTATAAACACAGAATCTACCAGATCTCTTGAGTTAATTGCATCTCATTTACATTTTTACATGACATTCAAGGTATAACGCTATGAATATAAAAAAAAAGAAATTTCACAAAGTTATTTTATATCTTGGTAGCAATTAAATGCTGCAAAAATATATAGGAAGATCTTACAATGAAAGGCCCCAGCAGGGACCACCAGGGCAGACTCCTGAATCTCTGCAGACTCCTACTAATTGCGAATCAAATGTGCGCTCATGCTAGGCAGACAGATGAAACAGTAGCTGGAAGAAAGGCAGGATGGATCTGCATTTCCCTTGAGAATTAGCTCTGAAACATGCCTAAGGCCAAGACTGTAAGTAGCCAGAATTCCTAAGGAGCGCTACACAGCCACTGTGCTTCTCCAGCAACCCTGAATGAGTTCCAAAACTTTGCAGAACAGCAGAAGCTCTAGTAGTAATGACCCCCACTTGCCAAGGCTCACAGCTTTCCTTTACAAGCACCACAGCTCATCTGTGTGTTTTATCCACAATGGGTATTGAAAATCATCCAGCAGAGTCAAGTAAATATGAACATTTCTTTCAAAAATAAATAGCACCGGGCTCCTGCCTCAACTCCATGGCTTGATTTTCTGACACATTTGGTAAAATCTGCCTTTCCATCTCAAGCTGGCAGAGGGGTCCAGCCCAGCCTCACCACGGGCATGCTTGCACAGGGAAGTACAGCTGTGTCTGAGCACATCTGCTGGCTCAGCACATCTCGCCCTGATCCAGTTGCACCAACCCAGCTGCATCCAGGCTGGGATGGCCTCCTGGGAAAGGTCCCATTTGCTTGTGCACCATATTGCATTACTATAGCCAAAAGGCTTCTGGATCAGATCTGGCCCGTGGCCGCCAGCTCTCGTTGTCAGATTTAGTCCCAGTGGTTTAAGTCAGACCTAGCCCACTGTGGTATTAGACATATCAAAGTCTTCTGACTCCTCAACCCTTCTAATGTCCTTTCAAGCAGGCCCTTGGTTGTTGCTGGCACTAGTTCAGTGTGTTGCCTGAGCATGTTTTCTGCTGGTAACATCACACTTGCCCCTGACCTGTAACAGAGCCTCCCTAGGGAGTAAGGCAAGTCCTGGGTTTCCAATATTGTATATTTTTCTGAAGTTCCTATTCCAAAATTTCACTATTCAGGAAAAGAGAAGAATATAATTTAAATTTGAATTTGAAAAAATGGGTAAAAATGGAAAAAAATGGAAAAAAAGGGGTTTTACCCCTTCAGCCTGTGGGAATGCAGTTGTACACTTTCTACCCTCAGGTTTTCCACCATTATCTCCACCAGTTCACCTCCACCTCCTACTGCAGTGGTCCTAGTGTAGATGTGCATGCTAGCACCTTCTTGCCTGAGCTCTGGCATCCTTTACAGAGCATGGCAAACAATAGAGATGGAAAGGCTCAAGCATCCTGTCTGCATTACAGTTCAATTAAACGCTGGAGCAGTGACAGGGCAGTGATGGTGGGAAACCATGGTGGGGTGAAAGCCTGCCAGACCAATGTAGGCTAGAGGCTGAGCCCACTCTCCCATCAGACACGTGTGGCTCACGGGGGAGTGGTATGTCACCAGCAGAATGCATGTGGGGCATTGCCCAGGAAGCCAGCAGTCACCAAGGGGTGACAGCACTTTATCAGCCTGGAAAAGGGAAGGCGAAAGGTAAGTAATGAACAGCACTTCTCGAGCTCTCAGGACATGGCATTAGCGTGCAGAGCAGTTTTACATACCCGAGCGTGCTCTCCTGACCTCCTATTCAGATGAGTAATTCAGCTGAACTCTGCAGGACTGCTCACGTGAGGTGAATTTCTATAATGAAGAATTGGCAGAATCGGGAAACGGCTCTTTCGGACACACTGCGATGAAGAAATACCTGACTTTGGTGCTTGGCTGCAAGTAGCCATCTTGGCTTGTTCCGACCAGCCATCCTCACAGAGAGGTGGTTTCACAGGATGGTTGGTTTTTTTCAGTGCAGGAAAAACATGTAGCATTCATTGGAAATGCATCACCCTGCTGTCAGTATAAATTGCAGACTTTTTGAGGGTATTGAAGGATGAGCATCAGTGAATCGTACCAGGACACCTGATGAGTTTGCAGTCCCCAGCTATCCTTTGTACTGCTTTATCAGGGACTGCCGCCCCCTTCCTTCACCATCAGGACAGGTTTAGTGGCTTGAGCAGCAGTTCCTGACCTGCTGCGGTTTACAGCCCTGTATAATAAGGTACGCAGAGAACATGGCCTGCTTACCTTAACTGTCAGATTGGAAACTGTGGGAAGCTGGGAGCTGAATCACATGCAGTTCAGCTGTTGCTGCCACATGGCAATAGGATGGTGGAAGTAACCTACCACCTAGGGTGATAGTCTGCCAACGCTTCTGAGTCAGAAACCTTATCGAAACATAATAGTGTTCCACTTCACCTGGGTTTTAGGACTGTTGTCATTCAGGATCAGAGTTATATCATCAACAGTTGCACCAACCCCATCTTCTTTGGCAAAAATAAAGAATGCAGAAGAAAGTTCCCCATCTTTATTGTTCCACATCTCCCCCAACCCAGATATCTACTCTGAATTAAATTAGAATAAAAACATGACTCTTCAGAGTTTTAACTAAAGAGTAAATGGTTCTGGGCACTTCATTTAAGTGTACAGCCTCCATGGCTTATAGGTTCAGGAGAGCTGCGGTGTCTCCTCCTTTCTGTGTTTGCTCAATCACAGGATGAACGACGGAGTGTTTCACTGTGGCTCAAGACATGAGCTAGAACATTTCTTAAATCTCTTGGGAATGAATTTTACAATCCCCAGTGTAATCTTGGATTTTCCTCCAAAAGCTAATTCAAGATGAATAAAAATAAAGAAGTTTGGTACAGATGAGATATTTGAAATTGGCAACGTCTCCTCAGTTCTTCCTGCCACTGGTTAAATAAAAGAACTGTTCTGCTCCTCACCTCCTTTTCCGTCATACCCAGGAGCCATGTCAGTTATTTACATGCTTCCTCAGGAAGGAAACTTACAGTAGCACTTTGGCATCTTAAACAGCTCAAAATATATCATTCAAAACTAATCATTAGCAAAACACTATTTAGCTAGTGGCAACTTGCAAATATTGTAAAGTTTAAATTAATAGCAACGAGAATGGGAAATTAAATCATTTATTATTCTTGAGTGCCAATTCTGTACACTTTTTATGCCTTGAAACTACTTTCTAATCTTATTATTTAAAAAATAATGACCCAATCTTATTATTTTCTTTTTTTTTTTTTGCCAACCTATCAAGCCTAAAGTATGTTGGTTTCAAAATGGTTTGAGCAAGAACTCATTAGAATTATATGCTCCATCTGTTTTTCTCATTGGAAGCTTTATAAAATGCTCCTTCAAATAAATCAAAGATAACTGTGTGAAATACTTAAGTAATGTGCTTGTTTTGTTCTGTTTTGGTTTTTGTTTACTCTTTGCAGTTAAAAAGCGCCAAGGAATTAGCAGAAATCAATGGGCATGATGAATCTCAGGCAAATGTAGGTACAGCTATCCATGTATAGTTTTATCTGTATATATATATGCATGCATATGGTCTCAAATTTACTATTTATGTCTTAAAGCTGACAGAATAGCTGAATGATTTGCACATCAGGTTTGAAGTGACTGGTGGGTTGGTTTTTTTTCCTGAAGCCACAGGTTCAAATCCCTACAAACTTCATTTCGAGGTAGATAAATTGGGTTCCATGCAATTTACTTTGTAGGATTTATTTGGATGAGACTTTAACAACCAATGTCCTAGTTGCTGCATGTGGGTGTTAAAGATACCATGGAAACGACTGCAAGAGAAATGCTTTGCCTTAGTGTCCTGTCCAGGATTACTCAAGCTACAAAGTTATACCGTTTGTCTCTGTGGCTGCCACCTTGCAGCTGAGCAAGTCTGGCCATATTTCAGCTCTGAGGGAAGTGATTCATATACATGTGTATAATTTGAAAACAGTTCATTTGCTCAAGAGGACTAAATTAATTCATTGAGTCATTATTTTGTCCAAAATCGTTAAAGGACTTGTTAAGGTCATGTTTTTTAAAACCTGCTGCCAAAAAAATGCTCCTGTTATTCCCGTAATGATTGCAGTCAAAACAGCAATTCGGATAAGGGCAGAGAGAAAAAAGGAAAACTTTCCTGCTATGTTTGTCAGCCAAACCGTGCAGCTTTGCTCTTTGTCATAAACATATGAAAATTAAAACTGATTATATACGATATCCTAGTCCCAGCCAACAGAACTAGCAACAGCCTGAACACTAATACAGTTTAACATCTATTTTAGTCGATGTGTCTAATGGCACAGCCAGGAAAGCAGTTTTATTTTAAACCTGAATGTAAGGCTCAAATTTTATGAAATGTTTTGTGATAAGGAGATGTTGTCCTCTCTTTTTTAATCCTTTCCTGAATCTCATTCATTGCGGTCTGTTTCCGCAGTGAAGTCAATAGAGCCTCATAGCTCTCAGCATTTGGACAGGAGACATTCAATATTGTCTGATAGCTCCAACAAATCTGCAATTGCAGCCTGTCTGCACAGCGTCTCATTGTCCCTTTGAAAAATCCTGTTTGAAAACCAAAATAAAGACATTAATCCACTCATGATCTTCAAATGCTCACAGTTACCACCTAAAAACTTGTCTTTGTACAATGGCTGCTTGCAGGTTTCATAAAGGAGTTTAGAAATGTAAGACTTAGACACTTTCTAAAGGAACTTGCTTCCTCTCCAAAAAATGTGGATGAAACAGTGTTTTTCAAGATTGAAATGTTTTAAAGGAAAATTATTTTAATGCTTCAACTTTTATAATTCTGGCTTATATGTAACTGACTAAAACTGAAGGGCCTGAAAGTATTATTTTTATACAATATAATAGTTGAAATAGCATTAAAATGAAACATTTTAATCATGTAAAGAGGGTGTTTCATCATTCCCAGATATCTAAACCAAAATATTTCAGAATCTTTGATTAATGGTAAATTTTTCAAAATGTAATGCTTTGTTCCAGTTTGTGATTGCAGGGATTCTTTAAATGCCTGCATTTTCCATAAGATAGAAACTATTTTCAGCCCCTCTTTTCCATGAGCTCTTCCCATGATGATGTCAGAGCAATATTAGACTCCTAAGAAAAGAAGTCAATACTTAAATTAATGGTGAAGAGGGAAACCAGACAGGTACAATTATTGAGTCACAGTTGCAGCCATGTATTCAACAATTATGCCACCATGAAATCAGAGAAGGCATAGCAGCACAAATGGAAATAGAGAAATAGAGGGAAAGAATGGCTGTTAAAGCATTTGCTACAGTAATGAACTTTGTAAAGTGGAAGTCGAGGTACCTTTTAAACAATTGTCATTTATATCAAATATGTAGTGCTCAGGTGTTGTGCCTTGCAGGTTGTCTCTCCACATCTATTCTCAGCAGACTTCATGGTTGTTGCCTTTGGCCAGCATGAAAATCTGGGATGATCAAAGAGAAAAAGGCTTGGTGTCTCCTACGTGGTTGTTAGTGAACTGTGATGCATATAATGGGATTAGGACATATTTGTTACAGTTGACAGGTTGAATTCAGCAAATGAAATACCTTTACAGGCAGAACAATAGTGGGAGGTGTTGGTTAGGAAAAATGGCAACATATGTCTGTACGCTGAACACACAATCTAATCTTCACACTATGGCATATTTAGATTACTTACTCTGCAGAAAATCAGGCTCCTAGAAAGGACAGTAGAAACTTTAGGCACATTGCCTACACATCAAGAAATCCCATACTGTAATCTTAAAAAGGTTATTTCCTGCAGTCCTCTGGCTTTCTGCTGATGACACTGGTCTGCATCATATTTTAAATTAGAAAATATTGTTTCTTAAAATAAAAACTGGTCATATTTTTCCTAGCAAAAGCAGATACAGATCAAAATATATACTTAGACCTATCCTGGTGTGCCTTTTCTGTCATACCCAGGAGCCATATCAGTTATTTAGATGCTTCCTCAGGAAGGAAACCTACAGTAGCACTTTGGCATCTTGAACAGCTCAAAATGTATATGCCTTCTACATTTCCATTATGTGGGACCATCCTGAAAGGGAAAGAAGTATCTGGACACCTTTGAAAAAAGAAAAACATCCCTCCTGAAATGTGCCAAAACTATAAAGGAGTCATTCTTCATTTTATTGTTTTGTTTTTGCAGAATAATTGAGCACAGCTAACTAAGAGGCTGGAGCAATTGCTATGTTACCTTTCATGCCATAGCAGTTCACACACAAACCTGGAGAGGGTAAAAACCTGAAATTCTAGTGTGTTGCCAGTACGTCTGTAATTTTCAGAAAGCAAATCATCTTACAAGGCTCTGTAAAGTCATCAGGGTGTTTCATGAGTGACTTGCAAGGTACATGCAGTAATATTTGTTATGGCTGTTGATGCTTCCCAGCTATACTCTGTGGCAGGAAAGGCCAAATGTCAGGCTCAAGCAGTACATAGAGCCCAGGATCCTGGCCTGGTGTTAACAGAGACTTCAACACCCAGGACTGCCAGAGGTGCTGTCAGTGAGCATTCATTTCCTTCAGCCCCACAGGAAAAGATTGCTTTTTGCTTCTAATCTGCTCCCCACCCCCCACCCCCCTTTAATTTCCTCTTTATTGCTGCATATAATGATAATTTAATTCACATCTCTGTCTTAAGAGAAAATAATGGCCAATGGACAATTATCATTTCAGAGATAATCCTCTTGCAGGATGTTCCCAGATTCTTGGGACCTGATTAGTCCCAATGTGAAAAAAAAAAAAATCTTGCCTGGGAAGTGTGCTCCAATAAAGAGCATTTTGCAAACTGAAAATGCTAATCAAATGTTTGGTGTCTAACTCTATAAAGGCAATTTATTCTTCTGCTGTTTCTCTGAGTGCAGTGGCTTTCTGTGAAGCCTCTTGTATATAGGTTAATTCTGTGTTTTGATCAAAGATGTCCTTTTGCTTACTGCTGAGTTCAGTATACACAGGGCACAGGCATGCATAGTTATATAGCCTTGGTGAATATATCCCTATTTTGGAGGTGGGAAGTTTAACATCCATGCTGTCCATCCATTGTTAACAGAGAAAGGGAGACTTTTTACACAAGCCTCATTTTAGAAGTATGCAGTGATCTTTTTCCGGGAGTTTGGTGCTCTCCCCTGATGGCTATCTGCCTTCCTCAGATGGAAGGTAGCTCCTGTGAGTAACTCCTATCCTTTGTAAAAGTGCCATAGAATGGTAGTCAGGAGTATCAGTCCTCCAAGTTCAGACCAAAGCAAGATGGATCGTGGTTGCAGAAGCATTTTGAATGCCCAGATTGCAATCTCATGGTAAAGTCCTGACTCTGTTGAAGTCAATAATTAAATTCCCATCAGGTTAAAAAGCCAGGATTTCACCGAAAGTCTCTAGGGTGGCTTCATTATCACCAAGGTATAATCAAATTAATATATTTCAGAGAGTGAAACTGATTTCACCACAACTTTTTTTACCAGCTTTTTGCTCTGTTTGAGTTTCATTGTTTGAACAAAGTAATGGCTTTGACCTCATTCATCTGTCTGCCTCCAGTTAGCAACTCCAGCAGCTTGGACACAATATTCTGTGGGTTTTTCTCCAGACGTGAAATCAATAATATTAAGTAGGGATACATTTTTCCATTTGAATGCTTGAAGCTGTTACCAGAGCATTTATCAAGTTCATCCAAGCATCTTACATTTGCTGCTGATTCTTCCTTTAATTTTTTCCCCTCTGTATTCGGTTTTCAAGCAGTTACCAGATGAATCCTGGTTCTGAGGAGGAGTATACCCAGGGTGAAGTATTTCAACTGTTTTACTAAATTGCTCACTTTACGCTACACTGAAAGTGATTCTATTCCTAACTACACCTTAGTGTTCTCTTTTCACATAGTGTGGTTAATCACTGATGATCTTTACCAAAGACAAGTAAAGACAGCTCTTAATCGAGGCTCATATTTGCAACAAACCGGGCAAAGATTTAAAAAGCAAACCCCATTCAACTTTTGGAGAAGTATGTAATTCCATCAAATTCTGAGTTCCATTCTTATTCCATTCCATTATGCAAACCTTTAATAGAAGATTTTTCCAAGGGTACCTGCTGTGAACGTCCCATGTCAGTGTATGTGTTAGTACACACTAGGATGGGGCACCTCGGTGCTGTGTGACTGCTCCATATCAAGCCAGGGGAGATGAAAAGGTCCTTTGAACACAGGGAGAGGAGAAGGAGCTAGAAGAGCGCAAGGCCTGCTCAAATCATCCCAGTGGTTTGGGAGTATGGGACAAAAGTTGGCTGCTTTTATTGATGAAGATCCCAAGTGATTGCTGATGCTTTTGCTTCACTCCCTTGTGAGTGCAACAGCCATTTCCTGGCTAATCCCCTTTCAAAAGACTTGCTCTTTGCAGAAGAACACAGGCTTATGATAAAAATAACGTGCTCTACGTGACTAATATAAAAGCAATTTGGCCCTAAGTTATAGGCCAGAAA